GGAGAGGTAAGTCTGGCGGAAGTTGGCGAGGATGTGGCCAGACGCCGGAAATCGGCGATGGTGCGGCCAAACACCGGAAACAGGAAGGAGTCACAGCAGGCGGGAAGAAAAGAGCGCTAAATGAAAGGTATTTAAGCGAGAAAGAAAGAAGAAGATGGATGAACTTTTGATAAAGGCTATATGCCGAAATGCGTCAAGTTTTATACCAAAGAGGACTTTTTTACAATTTCAGTGTTTGTTTTATTTGTATCCAGCTACCTAGTGTGTGTGGAAATAAAAGCTTTTTTGTTTCATCACTTCCTGCATCCTGAAGTAATTGAAGCAATTAAGGCTGAGGACCACAGAGGGGATTTAGTTTGGAGTCCAACTTTACATACGCTGATTTGATATGCTGTTAGTCTGAGCCAGCTTTTATAAGTGGCTCATGACCATGTGAGTTTGACCATCTACAGTATTTAATAATTACAGTAGTTATGTTATTACCCTATATGTTCTTTTTTTCTTGATTTTAGATGCCCAGTAAGGAAGTATTTCCCAAGTAAGTGGATTAATCTCATAAGAGCAAGCATTAGGCTGCTAGAGTAGGACCTGCCAAGAATAGGGTACATTGATGTTGTGACAGGCTTATGCAATATATGATCATATAATGTAACTAAACCCCCATTATTTTTTTGCCTAGGAGAGGTGTTTTTAAATAAAACTATTACAAATTCTAAGATTTGAAATACTTGTTTAGTGAATAAGCGAGTGTGCTGGATTTATATATATATATATATATATATATATATATATATATATATGTCTGTCTCCCTCCAAGTCAACGGTGCTACCATCAGCTCCACCAAGCAGGCTCGCTGCCTAGGTGTTCACTTTGACTCCGACCTCTCCTTCAAGCCTCATGTTCAATCTGTTGCCAAATCCTGTCATTTCCATCTCAAAAACATTGCGCGCATCCGTCCCTACTTAACGCCAGATGCGACTAAGGTGGTCCATTCCACTGTCCTTTCTCACCTTGACTACTGTAATCCGCTTCTCAGTGGTCTTACGTGCTCCCAACTTGGGTCGTTACAGTCCATAATGAATGCGGCGGCAAGGCTCATCTTCCTGTCTGCCCGCACCTCCTATGCCTCACCCTTCTGTCAGTCCTTACATTGGCTTCCTATACAATATAGGGCTCAGTTTAAAATTCTGGTTCTTGCTTTCAAATTGCTACATAATGCTGCTCCCACCTATCTATCCTCCCTTATACACAAGTATGTCCCGTCTAGGCCCTTACGATCTGCTGAAGACTTATGTCTATCTTCTGTCCGTACTCCCGCCTCTGATGCTCACCTTCAAGATTTCTTGAGGGCTGCACCGTTCCTGTGGAACTCGCTTCCCTCCTCCGTTAGATTCTCACCCAGTCTCCACTCCTTTAAAAATTTGTTAAAAACCCACTTATCAATTAAACTGTTAACAGTTCCTGACTGATTTCTCTTCTGCAACTGTCACTAGTCTAATACTATCCTTACCTTTTTGTGTCATTTTACCCCACTCCATCTAGCATGTAAGCTCATTGAGCAGGGCCCTAAACCCCTCTGTTCCTGTGTGTCCAACTTGTCTGGTTACAACTACATGTCTGTTTGTCCACCCATTGTAAAGCACTAGGGATGGAGCTATAGAAATAACATAATAATAATAATAATAATAATAATAATAATAATAATGTGTCTTTGTATGTATGTCTTGTGTGTGTCTGTATGTATGTGTGTATGTATGTGTCTTTGTATGTGTGTGTGCCTGTATGTATTTGTCTTTGTGTCTGTATGTATGTGTGCCTGTCTGTGTGTGTCTGTATGTGTCTTTTTATGTATGTGTGTCTTGTGAGTGTATCTGTCTGTATGTGTGCCTGTCAGTTTATATGTATGTGTCTTTGCATGTGTGTGCCTGTATGTGTGTGTGTCGGTATGTATGTGTCTGTGTGTCTGTCTGTCTGTGTGTGTGTGTGTGTCTGTATGTATCTGTCTGTATGTGTCTATTTGTGTTTCTGTATGTGTGTGTGTGTGTGTCTGTCAGGGAGGGGAGAGGGAAAGAGGGGTGGGGCCCACGGATCAGCTTCACACCGGGGCCTCATGGGTTGTGTGTACGCCATTGAGTGACTATATGTGTGTCAGTGAGCATGTGTATGTCAGTGAACTGTAGTAAATCTATGTGTAGTGAATCTGTGTTAGTGAGCGCTTCTGTAGGGAGCATGTGTGTGTGTCAGTGAGCTTGTCTGTAGGAGGAGTGTGTGCGCATCAGTGACCTTGTCTGTAGTGAGCGTGTGTGTGTGACGGTGAGCTTGTATGTAGTAAGCTTGTGTGTGTATCAGAGTTTGTCTGTACTAAATTCGTGTGTGTACCAGTAACCTTGTCTGTGTGTCATTGAGATTGTCTTTCAATGAGCCTATTTGTGTGCATCAGTAAGATTGTCTGTGTCTGTATTTGAGTATGCTTTATTGTATAATTTAATTACCCTGAAAGGACTAATATTTTGAATTAGAAAAAGAAATGTACCAATAAAATATATATATATATATATATATATATATATATACATACACATATATATATACATATATATATACACATATATATATACACATATATATATATATACATACACATATATATATATACACACACATATATATATACACACATATATATATACACATATATATATATATATATATATATATATATATATATAAAATCACACTACATAGCACAATGACTTATGGGCTTGCATAGATTTTTTTTCCTGGGCTGCATCCTATCCCCAGTCCGCCCCTGGATAGGAAGCAGCTCTAGCTACCATCTGAGTAGTGACCAGTGAAGTTATCACTAGGTTGTAATGTAAACACTGCATTTTCTCTGAAAAGACAGTGTTTACAACAAAAAGCCTGAAGTGGTTCTACTCACCAGAACAAATGCAATAAGCGGTAGTTGTTCTGACGACTATAGTGCCCCTTTAGTATTTCTAATATCTCAGAAATCTCTGAGATATGTGCTGTATAAAGAGATATAACAACTGTGGGGATAACGTGTAAATCGTATCAGCAATTTCTAGCCTTTAATAAATGAAAACTGAATTCTTTAAACAAATGTGTGTTTTAAATTGTGCAAAAGTGTTAAGCCATGTATTTCTCTTCTGTATTTGGGTCTTTTGTTCATTATAAATTAAATACATTTGTGTCATTTTTTTATTTACTAAAACCACATTTGATATGTCTCACTTGCACTCATCATTTGACCCTGAGAAAATAGCATTACTTTCAACACAGCTGGGAAATATTTGCACACTTCTAGCTGGAGTTACAATCTTATTTGATTGCCTCATTTTAGCCAGTAAGCTACATAAAGAGAGATCTAGTTTTCCCCAATGACATCACTAATAGATCTACACTCACAATGACTTTATACTTTACATCTGATGGAATGCTTCAGCACTCAGCAGTCTGTTTGAAGGAAGGATGGCTTTTACTGCACCTACCATGCTGTGAAGCTTATGGAAGGTTTCTGTCTGGATTATTATTTTAGCAAGGGAATGCTCATTCATTTTGTCTCTGAAATGTTTATCTAAGAGCATTTATCTGATTCATTTCTGTGCATATATATTTATTTTTCTCGCTCATTAAGGTTTGTTTTGATATTTGCCTTCTCTTCCTTTCATATCCTGCATTTTGTGTGTACTTTAAAGATGTTGATTGTATTTTTGAAAGCTGTCAAAATATCTCTCTGTGATCAAAAATGGGGATTTCTTTTATTTTTTTGCTTCAGTTTTAAGGTTTAATAAATTACCTCTGTTAATTACAAACAGAGAAGGTTAATTAACATGGAAAAAAAACCAAATAAATATATATTTATACAGATGGAATGTGCCTTCAATCAATCTGTATAAGTTTACCTCAACTGTGTTGGAGATGAGAAATCAAATCATTTCATTACTACAATACATTCAAAGGGCAATTTAATTAACATTCTAATAATTCATTATTCTAGTTAATATTGTAAGTGATAATGATCATATTTTTATTAAACACTCAAGTTCAATAACGCTCTTAGTAATCTAGAGAAACCTTTCACTGCAAACTGCATTGTAAATGCTTCAATTTGCTGTCTGTCGATCTGTCAGTCTGTCAATTGTGCGAAATTGAAGCCGAACATTCACACTCAAACCTGCAAGCACTGCAGAATTCAGAGCATTTGATTTGGATTAATTTGGATTTTTAAGCCTGAACTACGAGTACTGTGCTATCTTGGGGCTCAAGAAGACCTTAAAGGAACACTAAAGCATTGGGAGTACAAACCTGCATTCCAAATGCTTTAGTGTTTCTGTCACTAGGTATGCTCATCCCCCATATTTACTATAAAGCATTGCCTCCTCTGTGCTGGTCCAATCCAATGCTCCTTGTAGAAAATATTTTTATTAGTGATATTGCAGAAGGTCTTGATGGTAAGGTATGTCTTTTTGCTGATGATACTAAGATATGTAACAGGGTTGATGTTCCAGGAGGGATAAGCCAAATGACAAATGATTTAGGTAAACTAGAAAAATGGTCAGAATTGTGGCAACTGACATTTAATGAGAATAAGTGCAAGATAATGCATCTTGGACGTAAAAACCCATGGGCAGAGTACAGAATATTTGATAGAGTCCTAACCTCAACATATGAGGAAAGGGATTTAGGGGTGATTATTTCTGATGACTTTAAGGTAGGCAGACAATGTAATAGAGCAGCAGGAAATGCTAGCAGAATGCTTGGTTGTATAGGGAGAGGTATTAGCAGTAGAAAGAGGGAAGTGCTCATGCCATTGTACAGAACACTGGTGAGACCTCACTTGGAGTATTGTACACAATAATGGAGACCGTATCTTCAGAAGGATATTGATACCTTAGAGAGGGTTCAGAGAAGGGCTACTAAACTGGTTCATGGATTGCGGGATAAAACTTACCAGGAAAGGTTAAAGGATCTTAACATGTATAGCTTGGAGGAAAGGCGAGACAGGGGGGATATGATAGAAACATTTAAATATATAAAGGGAATCAACACAGTAAAGGAGGAGACTATATTTAAAAGAAGAAAAACTACCACAAAAAGAGGACATAGTCTTAAATTAGAGGGACAAAGGTTTAAAAATATCAGGAAGTATTACTTTACTGAGAGGGTAGTGGACACATGGAATAGCCTTCCAGCTGAAGTGGTAGAGGTTAACACAGTAAAGGAGTTTAAGCATGCGTGGGATAGGCATAAGGCTATCCTAACTATAAGATAAGACTAGGGACTAATGAAAGTATTTAGAAAATTGGGCAGACTAGATGGGCCGAATGGTTCTTATCTGCCGTCACATTCTATGTTTCTATGTTTAAAAGCTTTGAGGGCATAAAGTGTATTTGTTGCGAGCACCCCACACGCATCCAACCTTTTCAATAGGAAAGCATTGAATCAATGCTTTCCTACAGGAGCTTTCATGTCACATGATCAAGTTTTACTCTTTTTATTTTACAAAAACTGCAAATTTTTATAGAAATTGGAACTCATAAATTAACTTGTTACACCTACCTGGCTATTAATCACCGGTCCTGTCACTTCCATGTTTGGTTAGCTCAGTGGAGCTAAACTTAAAAGGCAGCAATTGCCCAGAGCACCTGCCTTGCAAAGACTTCTCAGTGAGCTGCATTGGAAAATCTGTTATTGGACAGCCACAGAAAGTCTGGGCAGGGTTAGAAAGGGAGGGCTTACAAAGGCTTCAGAAAATAAACACCTTTTGAAAGCTATTTAAAGATAAATTCCCAATAAAATGAAAACTACAAGCATGATTTTTATTGGAGGTGTATCTATTAAACAGTGTTTGCTTTGTTTTTTATGTTTTTGGTCAGTTAAATGTCCCATTAAGACCAGCCAGTTTTAACTACTGATAATGTGACACTATCTTGCATTCCTGTTCTCATTCAGGGGTAAATTCAGAGGTTCCAAACTTGAAACTGAGCATCTATAAAAGTAAAAAGGAAAGTTAATATTTTCCCAGTTTACTAAATATGCCAGATTATGTGAAAAACATTAATTTGAATATGTCATGGGATACAGCATACTAGAGCACTGTTATAAATATAAGCACGCACATTCAGTTACCATGAGGCAACTTGCAGCCCATTTGAATTACTCGCTATGCTGAACTGCCATCATAGGCAGCGCTTATTAATTCACTTTACAGGATCACCATAAAAATATAAAGCCAGAAGGGAGCTTAGAATGCTTCTTGTCCACATAACAGTGGAACCAATCAAGTGTGAGAATAACCAAAAGCACACATATTTTCATGACTTTGTCCTTTGATAAAACTAGCATAGTAAATATGTTACAATGTGACTGCACCTCTTGGAGATAGATGAGCAATTACAGGTGCTGGTCTTAGCAATTTCTTACTTCACATGTCTCGCTATTCAAAAAGATGCCTCGTAAAGGCTCAATATCTCCCATAATTGATACTGTCCTTTTCTGAGACCTAGGTGGTTTCAATAACAATAAAATATATTGCTTTGGATGTGAATACTTACAAAGTAAGAGTAAATCATCTCCACTTATTCTTGAGCATTAGGCTATATTTACACCCAGGATTTATTATACTGAGTGTGAGAAGGTCAAATATATTTAAATCAATAAAATAAATATGTCATTGTCTTTTTAACTGTGGGCATGATAAATGCCTATACTGTGCACATTTGGTAAGATACAGCAATAAACAGTCATGTTATGCATTTTTTTTACAGTTCAACTTTATTATTAGCTAACAAATAAGTATATATCCCCAATAAAATGTATAATAGATCTTTAAAATAAAGTAGTCAAACATTTCTCAGCCTTACAATAATACAGCAGTGGAGAAAATACGTAATTGTATTTTCATGTTTTCATTGAAGAAATGTACTATAATGAGAGAAGTTCTAGCAGTAAATATATCTTGAAATTAAATAAACAATGTTCCCATTAAAGTATTTGAGAATTTTTGTGATCGTGATTAAGTACTTTTTTGTCAATACTACTCTCAGTACTCTCATTACTCTTAGTACTAGACAGAAGTGTTGCCTTAAAGGAGAATAGAAGGGCAAGGAAAGCATGTCTCCCAAAAGAGATAAGGATATAGATAAAGCAACAACGGCTAGTATGGATAAAAATAAAAATATAAATTCCTTCTATTCACCTAAATCTCAAGAGCGATCACTAATTAAAATATCATCTCTGGGAGATCGCAGAGAATCAGCCTCACTTATTCCAGAATCCTTTTCGGCAACTCCCCAATATACCAGCCAACAAACTCTTAATGAAGCTTTGGAAGCTCTATATCTGAAATTAAAACAAGATCTGGAAGATAATTCCAATATATTAAGGCTGGAAATAGCTAATATATCCTCTATACTGCAAAATCAGGCAGACACTCTCCAGAAAATCCAAACATCTAACGAAGATTTAACCTTAAAATACAATCAATTGGACGAGAAGATTAAAGCATTAGAGACAAAGGTTACCGATCTGGAAGATAGATCTCGAAGGAACAATATAAAATTGAGAGGAGTTCCTGAATCTATTAATTATGATCAACTAGACCAATTTTTAAAATCCTTCTTTCAAAACCTAATGCCTGAATTGTCAGTTGGAGAATTCCCATTTGAGCGATACCATAGGCTACACAGACCAAAGAACTTGTCGGCAGACATACCTAGGGACATTATTGTTTGTTTTTCTAACAACTATATAAAAAATTTAATTATGCAGTCGGTACAAAAAAATGTTATAACAGATCCTCAATTTAAAGATATTAAGTTATATTCAGATCTATCTTTGATGACCAGGTTGGCAAGGAAAAAATTTGCCGTCCAGACTAGCATTCTGAGGAAGCATGGAATTAAATATAGATGGAGTTTCCCTACAGCATTATTGTTATCCTTTCAAAATCAACAATTTCTTCTTAAAGAAGCCTCGGCGGCCCAAGAAAAAATCCAATTTTGGAACTTACAGTAGTTATCTCCTTGAGTTGACCAAATTAACGACCACCTACCTGAAATAAGACACGGACTACTTACTAAGTCGACCAAATTAATGACCACCTTTTTGGAATAAGACAATGACTAATTACTACCACTATAAAAAAAAAAATTTCTCCTTTTTATATAATATTTAAATTGTGAAGACAGACTAGATCAGTGAATGCCCAAGCCCAATGGGCAGAGTTATGTCTAAAGTTAAGAATGTTCATTTATGGATAAGGGCATCTGGTAACATTTGTATACTGTTTTCATATAAGGGGTTTGACACAAGTTATGGTCTAAGGTAATGTTAACCTGGTATAATGTTGGGAGTTATATAATTATGCCATAATATATAGTTATTACATACTATCTTCTGTTAAGATGCCTTTCCTCCCTCACTCTCCTCTGTTTTGATATAATTATCTATATAGGAGATTGGAAATTCTTTATGCTATATCTCTGATGGGTAATTGAAGGCGACATATTGGATAAATATAAGAATGGTATAAAGCACATATGTAATTTATAGAGGGTTTTTCTTTTTTTTTTCTTTTTTTTCACATATTTTGTATTAACGCTGTTTGGATTACAATTGGTACAGCGAGATATTATTAGTACACTTCTCTAATTATGGAGTTTGACAGTAAGGAATTTTAGAGATTCTACATTCGTATTTTGTAGCAACATAAGCTTTGGTCACAATAATTATGATTCGATATTATTCAGCACTAATAAGAATGGAAGAAAGTTATTTATACACGAGTTGTAGTACAATTTCATAGTATGGGTCTATTCACTTATGATATAACTGTGGTTATTTGTGGGTTTTAAAGGGGTAAAGGAGGTGAAGCGATTTGGTAATAGTAAGATAATATATCAGAGGTAACGCAGATTTAGATCACAATAGATAGGGGGAGTCGGACCATGTATATATATCTCAAGGGAATATGTAGATAGAATGGCTAAGGGAGGGGAAAGGAGAGGGAGGACTTGTACTATCATATTTAAGAGCTGGAGAGATATGTTGAACAGAACTAGAATAGCAATTTATTGTAATATGGTTTTTTAAACCAACGCGAACCTATATCCTAGACAAACTAACTGATCTATTGAAGGCTATAGTATTAAATAAAGGTCGGATTTTTGGAATACTGTTTGGTCTCTGATGAGGTCTGGAGAATTTTTTTTTTTTCTCATTAGTGTTTTTATTTCTGCAATTATAGGTAGGTCCGTTCAGGTAGATATAAGTTCACAGGTCTCCTTATTTTGCTTCTTTCCTGGGATACGTTCCATATTTCATATTATATCTTGGAATTATAATGACTGAGGGAAGGGAGAGGAGAGGGAGATTAGTACTATTATAATGGATAGCTGCAAAATACATCAAGTAGTGTCAGATTAGTAATTTATTGGGTTATGGCTTTAGGAGCTAGTGTGGTCATATATTCTAGTCAAAGTTGACAGCATTGTGGATTGCCATTTGACCGATTTTGGGCTAGATATTTGGAATGCCATTTGGTTTCTGAAGAGTTTGGAGGCCTTCCTCCTCTCGCTAGGGTCTCTATTCCTGCAATTATAGGCAGGTCTTGTTCAGGGGGCTTCATATATATATGTATGTATGTGTGTGTGTATGTATATATATATATATATACATATATGTGTGTGTGTATATACGTCTCCCCACTGGATTACCAAGAGGCGGTTTGTTTCCCCTCTTGAATTATTTTTTGTTTTATGTACTTTATAATGTAAATGTGTATTCTTTTTTTTGTTTCTGTTTTTTCTTTTTTACTTTTCTGAGACTCGATTTGGGGTGTAATCAGGACAATAGGTGTTATGATGGCACTTAATGTGATATCATGGAATGTCCAGGGTTTGAATTCACCACAGAAAAGGGGAGCGGTCTATAAATTTCTAAATGGAAATGATATTGATATTGCTTTTATTCAGGAGACACACTGGATTAATCCCCCAGAGAGACTCTGGAAGTTTAAGAAATTCCCGTTGATATTTTCTTCCAATATGGAGGGGAATAAAAAAAAAAAAAAGAGGCACTGCTATCATAATCTCTAGCAGAATTAATTTTGAAATGATACATCTAACTGGGGATCCAATGGGAAGATATGTGATACACATCGCAAAAATTAATGGTATTATATATACTTTGGTTAATATTTATGCACCACATTCGTGCCCA